AATTGACTTTTCTACAAAAACGTAGCGTCTTGTCAAAAAAGCTTCTTGTATTCCATAATTTTGACTTATTTTGATAAATAGAATAACTTCCTGTTCATGATTTATTCCTGATTAATTTAGAATTAGCTAACATTCAAGTGCAGTTAATAAATTTCCAAAAAACTTGACTTTCTTGAAAACAAAGTCTTAAAATAAAGCACATTTATTCTTTATTTTCGATATATTTTTTTCATGTAGTGTCATCTCCTCTTTGATTGTATCTTCAACGTCAGGCTCTCTTCATTGTTTGGATGTCTAGAATTCATCTGTGTTAATGTTATCTACATTCCATTTTCATTTTCTCTTGAATTTTCAAACGTGAAACTCAGACTGACCAAAAGAAAAATCTCCATAGATATCGTTTCAAGCACGCGTTCGATAACGTGAATCTGTGTGACGAAAAGTACAACGACGCGTTAATACGTGAAACTTACGTGAAAGTGCGTGAATCCATCGAAGCTCACAAAAGAGCTGTTGAGTTAGTACAACAGTTTTATACAGCACAGTGAGCATAGCAACAAAAGTATCGTGCAGTCAGTTGCTAAATGTCTTGTGTATTTGTTTCAAATTAGATACGTGCAAAAAATCAGTGCCTGCCATATATATTACTTTCTTATCACCCTGGGCTTTATAATAGTGGCATTCACGTGTACTTTCGTGAGGGTAAGTTTCATTTCGTTGTCAGAAATTTAACTGCGTTATTTGGTCACTGTAATTAAAGAATACAATTTAGTCTCTATCAGACACGACTCAGACTGTGGTTACAGTGGATGTAAATACTTACTATTGTATGTTCACTCTGTCATTCAAAAGTTTCGGAAGATTTTTGGTTTTTAATATCCTATTTAATATGAACAATCAAATTTTTCAATTACAATAATTCTATGACATATAGTCACCAAAAGAATTAATCTTTCACAAAATCTTTGTGGTATAAAATATTTAATTGTTCTAACTTCAAAACAAATGTAGTACTTTCACACATGACATGTGTATTCAATTAGTAAAAAAAC